ACTTGAATCTGAACAATCCTTCTACTCAGAAAATATAAAAAGGCTGAAATTCAGATTGACTTTGAGTCCAGGATGAGTTAAGAGGAAGACTATAGTGTATAAAAATTTCTTATTAAAAATTAGGGTTTTTTAAAATGTTACAAATTACTTATCTTGCAACTACATTTATCGAACAAGGGACATTGTCAAATAGCTACGCAGCTTGACACCTCCAGGTGTAGTAGGGCCTGGATGGCATAGTCATGGCTACCCTTTGTGGGAAATGTATTCCAACAAGAGACTCCTACAGCACCCACTGGCTCGCACCATTAAAGGTAGGATGGTAGTGTTAACCAGACTCCTAAAGAAAGGGAGCCCTGGGACGCTCCCAGGTATTACTTGTTGAGCAGTACCTTCTTCCTGATGCCTTTGCCCTGACTTGTGGAAAATGGACTCTCCAATCTGTGAGACTGTAAAGTAAGTATGTTCATTCAGCACTGGGCAGCACGGGGGTAGCCCCACCAAAGTCATGTGCGCCCCAACGCGGCAACTTGTCTTAGATTTATACAGTTAAGTGTTACATATACATAAGGTTTCCCAATACATCTATACATATGTATGACCTGTCCCTGCTTCATATTAAAATTAGTCCCAAGAAGTCATTTCTGTAAACTTCTCCCATCTGCGCTTGCGCAGTGCCTCCTTGTGGTGGTTGTAGGAGGTCATAAAGATGAAGGCTGATGGCTCCTCTTCATCACCTCTGGTAACCCCTTGTCCTTGTGCAGCCTCAGTTGCTCCTCAGCTCTTGCCCAAACTTCATGGTCGATTTCAGCTGGTTCTTAAGACAGGTTCATAATTCTTATTTGGGACTGTCTGTTGTAGGGGGGGCACAGGACTCTTGCTTCAACTAATTTGTACAATGGCTAACAGAAGCATTAAGCAACATCTATATATTCGATCCCCTGGACTATTCAGCAATCTAGGTAATCATTAAGCAATGCCTTACCTACTAAGATTTCCTTTACTCCTTCTCTCAGCCCCTTGCTGGAGACCATGTCCATGCCTTGTGGTATCTGGCGTGGCAGCAGCTATCACTGGGCAAGGAAAACCCACCATGATGCAGATACCTCTTCTGTAGCAGTGGTATAGGTACCTATCCTGCCCTCCCCACATTTGCTCATTCACTCCTGTGAGTAACTTCAGTAGCTCAGCTTCTTGTCAGTCATGCCCTTCAGCCTTGCAGTCATCATGCTTGGTCTCCAACCGCAGGAGCTACCCAGCACTTCATGTGCGCTTCACACCTTGCATGGTCAACCACCACTGCTTCCTAACTTCTCCTTTTCTTCTGCAAAGGACATATGTTATAGAAAAGGTCTGAAGAGCCATTTCATGCTTTTATGATGCAAAACAAAGAGCATGACTGTGTCCTTTGCACCCATAGCTGTCCTATGAGAACAGTGGGAAGGTGGGTAAAGGGGTATCCTGGTTTAGGCTAAACCAGAACTAATTCTGTTTTAGTGCTTTGACTTTTCAGTTAAGTCCCTTCTGAGTAAACTGCACTTTCTGAAGCAGCACGTTTTCCCAGACAGTGACTGCTCCCATCGGTGATAAGGCCTGATGTTTACAGCTAACACCAAGGCATGGTGTGCAGAGAGGCCCTTGCTTGTACCTGTTCTTACAGCAACCAAGGTCACTGCTGAATCTTGTACTCTGTGTTGAGGTGCTGTAAGTGAAAAGGATCGCAAGGACAAAAAAGGTCGCACCTGCAGGGAGGAGCGAACTGGACAGGTGACCCAAAACTGACCAACAGAGTGTTCCATCCCATGTACATCATATCCAGTAGAAAGCTGAGGGATCACAAGGGTCAATCTCTTCTTCAGTGGCAGACATCTGAGGAGGACTCTCTCCGTTCTACCTCCAATCCTGATCTGTCCACCCCTGAATCCAGTGCCTGAGTCCAGCTCCTGCACCTGGCTCCATCTGCTGCCGAGTCCAGCCTGGGACTGCCCCAGTGCCAGCCCTGCAGCGTGGTGGTGACGTGTAGTCATCAGGGTGGGGGGATTTGGGTTCGGTATTGGGTTTGTATCTATTTATATCTATTTGTATATATGTCATTATATTCCCATTTTTATTATTATCTCTTCTTTTATTGTTATTGTTTCATTAGAGCTGTTTTAGTTTTCTTTTCCAAACTGTAAAGTCTGCCTCCCTTGTCCTCTCTCCCTTCCCCTTCTGGGAGGCGAGGGGGGGTTGACAGAGAGCCTGTCATTTGTTAGTGGCCAGCCCAGCCTCAGCCCTTGACAAGGGGAAAAAGAGTAGGGCCAAAGAAATTTGACTGCTTAGAGCATTAAGGGAAAGCTTTACAGAAATACACTTGATGAACGGGTCACATTTTACTGATGCACCTAAGAAAGATCTTACTGAATAATTCTTACATATTTGATGGAAAAAAAAAAAAAATATCAGCAGCAGTTACCTAAAGCAGGCATGTACAGTTACCTATTACAACGTTTGTCTCAGATATCAGGCACACTAGTGCCTGAAGCAGGCTGCCCTTCCTCCCCCTGCCAAGCTCCACTTTGCCTTCAGAAGTGAGGGCTGCAGATGGTGGGACCCCCGCCAAACACATCCCCACGAGAAGGCTGGTGACAGGGAGGAGCGAGGAGCTCATGCTTTCTCCCACGTGTTACTGTCATTGCTGCTCACCATTTAGATTGCCTTCACAGAGCTAAAGCAAAATGCATCAGAAAGCCAGGGCTGTGCAGAAACATGGGGGCTGAATTATTCTGTATGTCTACTGGTGTGAATGCTGCAAGGGGCCACAAGCAGGGACGCATGGCCAAACAGTCCATGTGAGCAGGCTGAGGCCAGAGCAGCTGCAAGGCCACGGTGCCTGTGCATGTCCCACGCCTGGCCCCAAAAGCTGCAGCTTTTATCTCATCTTGAGCATGAGAATTACAAAGAAGTCAGCCTTTGCAAGATATCAGGATTTCAGGATGTGTTTTGTACTCTGTTCTGTGTAGTCCTTCCCTGAGCCACCAACATCCCCATCCACTGCAGGAATGGTTCTTGACTTCCAACTTAGCAAGGTTCTGCTGTAGGACTAGGTTTGACCATAGGTATCTCAGGTAGCCTATCATTCCTTTTCAGGGCAACATAGTTTTTCAAACTGTAGCTTAACAAAATTAAAAGAGAAGAAAAAAAAACTGGTAGAAATAAAATGTCTTTATTCTGTATAAAGAAATTGTAATTTTGAGTAAAAGTGAACACTGAATAATCCATTCCATATCACATTTCTACTGCTAAGGCCTGTACAGTACATAGCTAGTGTAGCTTCTCTTGCTAGCAACATTTGTTTTGACTAGCACTGTATTAATGTCTTATCTAGAAATTATGGTTTTCCATACTAAAGCATTTAGTCGGCCATTGCCTTTTCCTCTAAAAAGCATTCAATAAATTATAGAACTTACAAAGGATACAAAATCTGATGCGCCATGTCTTAGCAACATTTCACATGGTGTTCACCAAAGGCTGCTTAAAACAGAAGTCTGTCTTCATTACACTCATGGCCTAGTTTGGTTTCACATGTGCATAAGCGACATTCCGCTAAAGCTATATGTATTGCTGCATGTCATTGTGAGAAAGGAATACATAAGATGGAATACAGCTACGGAAAGCTGTCACTTTCAGTTCTTTTTCACTGTTTACAGAACGTGCATTTATGTTGCAGTCCTCACTTCTGATATCAAAGGTGTAATAACAAGTTAACGATTTATGCCAGGATCAGTTGCTCAGTTAAAAGTAATGAGGAATTTAAGGACTGAAGGGACAGAGTTACAACTGCTCCTTAAAGGAGAACAGCAATGTGGAGCCATTGGCTGCTGCAAGTTCCCTACTGGGTTGGATGTTGCTTATGCTTTCTGGAGAGGCATGCCCTAGCTCAGAAGTGAGAAAAGTAAAAATGTGCAAATGGAAGTACAGACGTCCACCATGCTCCAACGTGATGTGGCCCAGCACATACATAATAGTTGTATTCTCTAACCACTAATTTCTGAAAATTGTAATTGTTAAGAAACAGAAATAATAGTTGTCACCTGGAGATACATGGTCTCAAGAACATGACAAATCTTAGCTCTGCACAGTGCAGGCACACATGGGGAAAAACTTCTGTCCCACAAAGCTCAGCTTCACAACTCTAAGCTGTGCTACTGGCCCTTTCTCCAGCATTGCTGCACAGTTGTACTTTCCTATACCCTACTAACTCCTCTTATAAAGTTGAGTGAATAGAATAGTTCAGTTAGAAGGGACCTACAATGATCATCTAGCCCAAATTAATTTACTTCAAAAGTTACCATGAGCACAGAAGATTTTCTTGACAAAGAGGGAATGCAGAGAGAGGATATGAACAGCTCTTGATAGGGCATGTTTTAATAAAATAGTGCTTGGGAGTCTGGATAGCTTGTCCAAGCTCCTGGAGATTTCAGTGACCCAGATGAGGTTCTCATCAACAACAGACATAAGTGCAGAAGCCTCTGGCTTTCTCTGCTTTTTTAGAAAAAAATACCCAAACAAACCAAAAAATCACCTCCGTTGGTTGAAACTGGGTCAGCTGTGTGATAGGTGTTATTTTTTTGTCCATTAGCATATTGACGCCATGTGCCACTTCATGTTTTTGCCCAGCTGACCAAGGAGCTGTCATCAGCGTGAAACTCCTAACCTTACTGTGTTGCATGCCAGTATAGCAACACTGGGCTTGCCTGATGTTGTTTTCGGGAGCCAGCAGGCTGTGGACTGGGAAGAGAAATGCAGTGGAGGAAGGGACTCACCTTATGGCTGGGTGTTTGCAACTGCAGAGCCAAGAAACTCTTACATGCACTCAGGATCCTGGAATCTCAAAAGCCAGAGCCCACAGAAGCATAATGTCTCCAGTGACAATATTTTTTGCACTAAGTGGTTGTAACAAGGAAATATGCTGTAGCACTGCATTAATGATCATATCTCACACCCTACATGGGACAGATTTAGTTTTCTGAAGCTGCCAACTGAGTAAAAGATTGCCAATTTCTGTGTTCATCTCTGGTTTTCCTCTTAGAAATGGTGCTATGTACTGCCATGGTGGACATCTCACTGCCTCTTTTGTCCTGGGTCAGCATTGCTCTCTCTGAAGTTGGGTTCATGTTGGACTCTGCAGTTTCTATGGCACTGCAGCTGAACATTTGAATCAGACACTTCCTGAACTAGAAAGTTGAAAAAAAGGAGATCAATCAAAACACATTAGGAATTTTTAAATATCTCTCTAAAGCAGTTTATGTCTTAGCTAAAACTTTTGGAAATTCTCTCATGAGTCAGTCAGGAATATAAAGAAATAGCCCCATAAAATATATTTGCCTGTGCCACCATTAAGAATTCTAAAAAGACCCAGACTGCTGGAAAACCTTATTCTAAAACTTAGTTTTCCTCTTGTGCTTGTTACTAACCACATCTAATGGACAGAATTGGTCATTTCTCCAGGCTCATGAGTTGCTTTCATATGCTAATACCCATCTATTTACAGACGGTTTCCATGTTGTTCATATCCATGAGCAGGGTAAGATCAGCATACATCTGCCATGCATTGGGAGACTGGGATACTGCCCATAGGATGCGAGACAAGCAATAGCTCTCTCTGCAGGACTGAATAAATAAATGTATTCATCACTTATCCAACAGTCACTTTCCTTCTTTTCACTTATATGCTTATACTCTGCTTGATGCCACCACTGTTAGTAGCTACATTCATTGATAAATCTATTCAGGCTTTTTATCGTGCCTGTTAGTACAGTGAACACATCTTGCTGGTTCATCCCCTTGTCAATTCTTCCTCTCTGCATCCAATCCACTGCCCCCATTCCAGGGGTGAAAGCTCCCTATCCCATAGACATATGCAATGTTTCTACCCTCCCTGTATGTACAACTACAAACGCAGCATTTCCCCAACACAAATTTCAGCTATTGAAATCTTCCAGCCCACCTCAAAATCAACTCACTGGTGTTGCATTCCTAAAGAATTATAAAAATGTACTGGGACAGTCTTGAAAATAGAATTTTCATATAGAAAACTAGCTGATATTCACTAAGGGCTGCTTTTCCTTTATAATATCTAAACCTAGTAATTATTAACATTCATCTTTTAATAATGCACAGAGGCTTGCGCTATCTTCCAGTAGGTAGATATACATTGATTTATTTTTTTTTACTTCTTAATGCTGGATATTGCAATGCTAGTTAACCAACAGTAAGTAGGTAGAAATAATTCATTATAAAGCACAATGAAATAACAAAATATGACTGTTAAAGACACTTTGAGAGCATACAGTACCTGTTTGTTCATAAAGACATAAATAATCGGATTATAAACAGTAGCCGTTTTGGAAAAGAAAGCTGGAATTGCTGCCAGACAAGGATCCAGCTCAATGGAGGGGTATGCAGTGACTAGAATAGAAAAGGCAGCGTATGGCATCCAGCAGATGAGAAAGGCAATGATCATAACAACAATCATTCTAGTCACTTGTCTTTCAGGTTTCCTGGTAGTTCCCAGCCTGCCTTGCGTATCTGAGACCTTTAAAGAAAAGACAGAAGATTCTAGAAAACAAACAACAAGGCCTCCAGCCAGTGAATTCAGTCAGCAGACTAATAATCTGGCATGCAAGAAGGAAAGACCTAAGACCTACTCTTCTTGGGTGTGACAACACATCAGGATGCTGCTACCAGACCACACGGTGTCAATGTTACTGCTGAGGGGCCTGAATTACTGTATACTGTCATGATTAAGTTTTCCTCTGCTTTATATTACCTTTATATTTTTATTGTCACCATGAGAGCAAAAAGCATGTGGTGCTTTATGGCCTTCACCAGAAGAGCATCTATGAGTCTAATGACACCAGAATTAAAGTGGGACTGGGCCATTTAGC